CTCTAGAACGGAGCTTTATCAGCGTTACCATATATCATATTTTGGATCAATATCAACCTTAGCGGTGCTGTCGCTGATTTCATTGTTCGAAAAGAAATATTAACTAGAACGCAAACGCGAAAACTTTTCAATTCTCTAGGTATTTAGTATTTTATTCAAATAATGCAAATCTCACTATTATTTTTGTATAGGGAATTTCATCCCAGCTTGTTTTGTCATTGGATTGGCTTTTGTTACATGTCAATCGAAATATGTTGGAGTAGCACTTCTTACACTTGGAATAATGTTCACGTAAGCAGTTTAAGAACATTAAACTGATTTTTTCAAAACAAAGCTTATTAATTACTTTAGAGGATGTTGTTACGGCGGAGGATTTATGATGACTGGTAAGTTGTTATTCATGCCATCTCCTCTAACTGAGGCTTCTGTATAGACTTAATCCTTGTAATATTTATTTTGTCTTTGATGGGGTTCAGAAAATGCCAGTAACGAAGAAACTTGTTTCGAGTGGCACCCCCTAAGAACGTTTTGAGTTTATAATTTTGCGTAGTGCTTCGATGACACAAGATGATGAGACAGTGAAATATTGTCTATATGATTCCGTACTCCATCTGCTGGGAATTTGATTATATACGTCGGTACTCTAGCTCTCGTGGCTGAAGTGGCAGCACCTATTCGAAATAAATGTCCAGAATAATGCAGTAGATTACAGCCTACTAAATGTAATAATCTTCTTAAATGATTAGTTAGTATACTATCAGAAAATTAGAAAATCGAACCATTTAAGGTATCGCATACTGTGATTAACAGCCGAAAAATAATTGGTTTTCTTATTGTTTTAGTTGGGTCATGTAATCGTTCTGCTGCTTTTACTAACGTACTGATAAAAAAGCTTTTGAGTACTATCTGAATGTCGCAAGGGATCTTTTAACCCGAATTTTAATGCTTGAAACCTAACCGCAGCTAACTATAAACGGATTGTGCCTGCTCTTAACTTGAGTGTTCCTGCACAATAAGCAATGAAATCTTGCAGTGAACGCTCATCAAAAAGATTATTTTTAACACTGGTGGTATCATAGATATTCAGAAACTTTTCGAACGCTTTCACTCCGGTTAAATACGATTTCTTTGTGGTATCAGAAAGTGCTACCGTTCATAATTTTGACTTCCAGCAGTCGAGAGAAATTTGAACATTATCCGCTTGTCCTGGAAAGAAAGAATTAATTATCTAAGCTATACTTCTATGTTTATTCGGTAGAAATTGGTCAGAATGGAAGAAAACTCGAACGAAGGATACAATAATGATGATAACAGCAGAATGGTTTCGTGGGTCTGTCTAGCGTAAGGAGCTAATTGTCTGCACTTGTATATTTGTCGACGTGAAAGTATATCAGGAATAGAGTTATGAATGCCAGGTATGTGTCCAGCCGTTAGATAGAAACTATGTTCCATCGAGATTAATGTCAGACGACGCATAAAGCGCATGATCAGTGGACACTGAGACGAGTAAAAGCGAGTACAAATTCGGATAAGCTGAAAGACTTAGTGAGACTAGGATCATTCTGTTTTATTGTAAAAGAATTGAGTTCTTTTCTGTCCTCCTTATACTCTTATACTGTGAGCCTGAATGTTCCTCTGGCATGATAAGTTGTACTAGAGGTACATCCTTCCCTTCCAAAATCGCCCGTCGTAGTTTTGGAGTGACATACTCGACATCTCAGAGAGATTGAGATTGTGATCCTCGGGATTTATCCTCACTACGCGCATTATGTAGCGTGTATGATCGCTTAACTGCTGTAACTGCTTTAAGAAAAAACAAAAGTATTATCTACGATTACTAAGCGACGAAAATTTATATATCAGCACAGAAATTTAAGGAGAAAACTAATGAAACAAAAATGCACGAATCGACATGTGACACTGATCGGGTCGCTGCATGAATATACATTAACACAATAGCCTTAATTACCTAAATTTACCTGGCTCTTAGATTATTACAGAGTATGCACAATATTTTAGCCAATGACATTGCACCCTCGTATGCGGGTCTGGTATTCGGAGTGTCAAATACTTTTGCCACTTTGCCAGGAATAATTAGCCCATATATTGTTGGTACCGTTACTTCGAAGGTATTTTTATTTCCTTTAAATTTATTTATACAAAAATCAGTTTACTTTACTCTGTTGCAGGATCCAAAAAATTGGCGAATTGTATTTTTTATTTGTGCTGTCATCTATTGTGTTGGAGCTGTTGTATTTTTATTTATTGGGAGTGGTGAAATTCAACGATGGGCAGTACAAACTCATCCATCAACGGAAGAAGGCGAAGCTCTTCGATCTCAAGAATCTAAGAGTAAGTTGTATATTTTTTATCAAATATTCAACATTTCAAAGATGTCTCATATGTATTTGATTATCTACTTTAGAAGATGATACAACCGAAACAAACCAAATTTGAAAAACATAACTGGTTGAATTTTCATCATGTAATCCAGTCGGAAATGTGAAACTAAGAAACGAAAGAAGAATAGTCAAGAGATGCTATTACAATTGAAAGAACCGGGAGTCTTCTCCTTCCAAAATTTGATCTAGTTACAGTATTCCATAGGGTACAGAATCACCATACCCTTAGTTTATCTATATCCTTACTAGAAGGATAAATGAACAATCTATGCATTTTTTAACATTTTGACCATTGTGATCAACTTCATTTTAGGTTAGACAAATTCTTTTACTTTCTAATTTTTCACTTTTGTTTTTCATGTATTTTGTAAGATGTTAAAAATTACAGCATCCACCCTACAAATAACTGTGATTGATGATTGTGTAATTAAAAGAAAAAAGATTTTAAAAACCCATCGACGCAAAACCTGTACTATAAAATAGGTCGTTTTCCTTCCTTTCCTTGATGTTATGCATCTAATCTATTATATCTTCGGATATACAGATCGTAAGCTACTTTATTGAGACTGAATTTAAAATGACACTAATGTTAGAGAGTTAGAAAGTAAAATGTGCAACACTATGGTGTCATTTATCATTGCGACAGCACGAACTATATATCAGTCATTAAAGACAAGCCACGACCTAATGTGCTCAATCGATCATCTCAGATTTCTTCCAAAGCAGGGGGGGGGCTTCTTTAGAACAAACATTTTCATGAATTTTGGCGAAAACCGAAGATCCTAAAGTTGTCGCGTTGCTGAGATATTCAATTTTGACGAAAAGCCCCAAAAACCGAATGTTCCGCCATCTTGAAAAATTATCACCTAAACTACGTGTAACTTCGTAATGACATATGACTTAAACTAATCAACTTTATCATAAATACTAGATGGTGTTTACTACAAATTCACACAACCGCGAGCTCCGGACATGTTTTTGTTCTTTTACAGTAGATGACGATGTGAGAGCCCAAATCATCGATCTGTACATTTTGGAGAAGGATTATCTCCCGAAAAATGGTGCGAACTTCTTACCCCCTATGGTTTTGCTGGAGTACCCACCAAGTGTACTATCATGAACCATGGTGGGATTTTTGGGGATTTTTTAAACTGGTGGGAAACTAAGTGAGGTTTCTAGAAAACCAATACATGAATTTTTCCAATTGGATTTATGATTTTCAAATCAACCATTTTGTAGAGCATATTAAGTTACACATGTCAAGCTATTTTTATACCTATTCGATTAGTTTTGATGGAATCAGAAATTTTTAGTTCAAGTATTGATTAAAAGGATACATATGTGCGTGTGTGGAAATACTCTAGTCTTTGACAAATTTAAAACTTAGTTAAAACTAATCGAATAGGTATAAAAATAGCTCGACATGTGTAACTTAATATGCTCTACGATTGAGCACATTAGATCGTGGCTTGTTTTTGACTCATATATGCTATTAATTTCTAGTGAACAATCATAAGCATAAGAATAGCGGTTTGGTCTCCAAGATTTTCGATAAGTGCCTCTAAAACTGCTCATAAAACCAACATGTTAGACTATTTACTTCAGAAAAGTATTGTGCTGAAAAGCACAATACTTTCGAATTCTTCGAAAAATAAGACACATGATAAAACCAATAATCAACAAATTATCTATAGTGTGCACCAGCATCTTTTCGTTATTTGAACTGTGTCCAAAAATTTTCATATTCAATAAAATTATCTTCGTCAATTGGTAAATCTTTTATCATTTCTTTCATTTCGATTTCTGATAATGGTTCACCTAGTGTTAACATTGCATTTTTAAACATTTCCATATTGATCAGTCCTGCGTTAGATAAAACGATTAAAATATTAGATGTGTTGAGTAGGAGTAAACATCTGTCGTATTATATTAAGAACTGGATGATGATTTTTCAATAGTCTGTCCTGCAACCACAAAATAACTACATTATAAACTGCATACCGTGATGATTGACATCAAATGTTAAGAACGCTTTTTGTATCTCCCCCGTTGTATACTTTGTACAGCTAACTTTACTCATTATTTCCAGAAACCTAAAATAGCGACTATCACAAAAAATGAGTACCGTCACCGGGAGAGAAGGAAGACAGTATACCATAAATAGTCAACTTGATGATCATCAATTAAGTCTGTGACAATACGATCTAAATCTACTTCGGTGGCTGTGAAACCTAGTGCTCGAATCAAAAATTTGACATCATCAACGCTTATTTTCCCGTCAGAGTCTTCGTCTAACAGTAAAAATGCTTCTTTGTATCGTATTTCATCTGTTTCCGATATTGGTCTTGCTATTTTTGTGTGAATGGTGGACATTTCTAGAAAATGAAGACCACAATGTTTGCTTAAGAGATGTGCACAGCTAAAGCATTCGGTACTCGTACCCAACCCGACTTTCAGAACTCCGCCCGTAGCCGATACTTATCCATCGAGCGGGGGACTCGCCGGGCTTAGACATCTACGCCCCCACTTTTTCGAACCCGTTATCCATGCCCAAGCTCATACCCGTGAAAAGATTTTAAAAAAAGCTATTCCCCGCCTATGAGTACGCATGGACACGGGTATGGCCGTAGATATCCGTTCCTAACAAGACTGGTTAGTGGCGAAGTTCTTTTATTAGCAGTTGATTAATTAGATAAAAGAAAATAAGTAATAGAACACTGCTGAAAACAACATGTTTGTTGCATTAAAATATAAACAAATTTTTACATAAGTTGTCGATTATAGTGCATGGTCATCAGTAGTGACAATCTGGAGGAACCGAGTTTTACGAAAGCTAGGATTTTGAGACTGGCTTCGCCTAATGTTAAAAAATTCACAATTACCTCAAAAAAATCAGAGCGAATTGAAAAACTTCATGATATATAGTGTTTAGGCTATCCTGTATCTTACAAAACGCCATGATTTTTCGATGTAAAAAATGTAAAAATCTTTTGACAACATGATTTTCAATTTGTTTACTCAATTTCATTACGAACACGTTTCGCAGAAAGAAACCATGCTCATCGACAAAAATTAAAAAATACGCGCCCGCGCCCATGCCTATTACTAAAAGTTTTTGGCTTATACCCATCGGCATGGGCTCGTATGGATAATGGCAATGGGCATGACCGCAGATGTCTAGTCGGGTTGTCCATCTCTAGTTTGCTTTCAATTTAAAACTAAGTCGAGTATTCTTTAAGCTTTTTTCATTTCATTTATTTCTACATTATATTTATATTGTCTTCACAAAATTCTGTTCCTACAATTCGCTTTAATTGCTTTGTGAAGAACGTGGCACGGAAAATGATCAAACACAGAAAGCAATGAGAAAAGCTAAAACCTGCTGACTCAAAAACAATTGAGATCTTTTATGAGAAACTTGATTCAAAAAACCGTTGACAAGGAACAGCCTTTTCGGTGAATTAAAAAACTATGCGTGGTAAGTTTTAGTTCCTTTGGCATGTATAGCATTCTGCCTAACGTATTTTCAACTACAGGAAAAAGTTTTCGTAGACAGAAACAGATGTCATCAGCTCCTGAACCTCTAGCAGTTTCATACTACTCATGGCCGTATTCCATTTTCATTCGCTAAAGCACATACGGATTGACATGAGAGTGAAAGAGAGTTAATGATAACCAAAAGACATCCTGACACAACGCATACTTCAAAGCTATTAGGTTCTAAGCCAGCGCCGATAAGTTACTAGCTTAAGCCGCATGTACGTTTCATCCCATCACAATTCAATTTCGTGAAAATTTGATTCGTCTACAAAAAGTTTTAAAAGTAAAACACTCATCGAACTGGCAAAAAGCAAAACTGAGATAAAATGAGCCATTAATATGGCTTTATGACTATGTGCCTCACTCAACCCGTCCAGTATCAATAATATACTTGTAGCATACAATATAACGAGTGAAAGAATAAATGACCCTCTTTCTATAATTTGCATCACTTTTTCATTTATGATCGCGTAGACTAAACTTTTGAAAGATTTGCTATTTCATCTCTACAAATACAAAAAACACGTCGAACATTTTTTTATATACTATAAAAATAAAAAAATTTACAGGAAATTTTGAGATATAACAAAGAGAAGTTAGACATTTTGTAGCTCTTGAAAAGCTTTATCTGCTGGTTATATTTATAACTTTTCATAATCAAAAGTGGTTGAAGTGAAGATTTTTTTCTACTGACGATTTTGTCAAAAATCGTCCCTTTTGAAACTGCAGTTCAGTGTTTTCCATAGTAGTTTTGGTGAGGGGTGGCGAGCCTCCTGAGTAACTCAGTTACTCAGGAAAAAATATTAGTCATGCAGTTACTCAGGTGTATAAGAGCGAGTTTCTCAACTTAAATTTCTGAGTAAGTCAAAATTTTTTGAGTAACTGTATCCAAACGAGGGGATGGTTTGCCACCCTAATCGATAACGCTGCTGCAGTTTAGGGGCAGTTGGAAAATTTTTGTAACTCATCCAGAATCAAACATTTTGAAGTCGAGTTTGTTTTATCAATTCATTCTCCTATAACATCCGAACAGAGGAAGTTCAATAGCTCTGTTTCTTCGTGTGCCAAGACGAAAAAGTCAAATCTGCTCGTTTTCTGGCGAATTTTTGATTAATTCGGCTGTTGTGCCAGAAAACACGTTCAAAGCTAAAGCCACTAGACACGAAAAGAAAGACGACATTTCGAAGCATCTACTTTAATTCAATTTGCATAACAAGGATTCCAAAGGAGGGAAACTCATTACATTAAAAGAATTCATTTAAGGAAAATTTGTTAGGATAAAAAATAAATTTTTCTTCTCCTAAGCTTTATTTTGAAACCCCCAAATTTTCTTTTTAATAAGTAGCTTTGTGGATCTAGATTCATGTCAAAAACCGTCTTAATTTCAAAATCCACATATCCGAAGATACAAAAATATCTGCTTTAGAAACGATAGCCTAGTTATCGAACTTCATTATTCAGTAACAAAACTTGAAATATACTGACTTTCACTAGTTGGAGAAACGAACGATTGGATGCTCATTTTGCGTCACTTCACTATGTACATGTGTTGAATTTTTATTTTTATTCTTGTGTTTTAGATGGACATGAACTACAATTATGGTCCAAATTATGAACAAGATGTATTAGAGCCCGAATTTGATAGTGATCCTGATCTTCAGTTGTCGGATTCTGAACTTTCATGGCAGTCTGTAACAGATGTTGATAGTATGTCACTGGCCAATCATTGGAGAGGATGGAAAGGTCAACCAGTTACATTCGGCAATCAACATTGTTCTACTAAAGAAGGTAAATAAAATATTTTTTAACACAAGTATTCTATTTGAAAACTATTTTTTTGTATTTTAGATGCCATACCATCATTGGTAGATTTAAGCGCAAAAACAATTGCTCGTACAATTCCATTTGAACTTGTTGATCGTTTCATTCAACGTAGTAATCAACCAGTTGAGGAAAGTTTACAATTAAAAATTGCTTACTGGAGTTTTCCAGAAAATGTAGAAAATATTAGGTAAATGGAAAAGTATATTTTAGAATTATGAAGCATTTAATAAGTGTTTTATGACATTTTAGATTATATACATGTGTTGCTAACGGAAGCACCGATGAATTTGTTAAAGCTGAAACTTTATATCAGTCAAAATGTGTGCGAAATGTGCTGCAAATCGGTATGTATTCATCTTAGAACACCTCATTATTTATTTATATACAAATATGTAATCTACTTTAGGTTTTCATTTGAGTGCCGATGTGCAAGAAATGACTACTGCTACTCATGTAAAAACTTCTAATCAATGCTATAATGTCTCGATTGTGTTTGATAGAAAAAAAATAACATTGTGTCACTGTACTTGTACAAATCCAGGTCCTTGGTGTTCTCATATAGTAGCTGTTTGCTTATATCGAATTTATCAAGTATATATAAAAATTCATTTATTGCTTAAGAAAAATAAGATATTTACGAACTATTTGCTTTTTTTTAATTAAGCCACAAAATGTTTGTTTACGAGCACCTGTATCAGAATCATTATCAAGATTGAAAATTGATCAATTGAGAAAGTTTGCACAATATCTGATTTGTGAGTTACCACAACAGGTATGCACATTTATCTTTGTCTTTATCATTTTATACATCTCCTTTATCTGGCATTTTATAGATATTACCAACCGCTCAACGCTTATTAGATGATCTGTTAAGTGATAATCCTACAAAAATCAATACGTTACAGGGAGCACCAGTAAGAAACAAATAAAGAAAAATAATTTTGATGTTCTCGTACAATCTTTTTTTTCACAGGATCCAACTGCCGGTCCATCAACATCTGATATAAGCGTATGGTATTTAGATGAAACAATTTTACAAGAAAATATAAGTAAAACATTACATCGTTTTTGTCAACCAACTCCGCAAGTCGTTGGGTAAATTCTACCATATAAATTCTTAATACAGTGTCTATATCTATTCTCTATTTTTGGCAGTGATGTGACCTATTTGACAAGTCCATCAATTCCAGCTGCTGCTGAATACTCAAGTTTATTGAGACCATTGCGTGGTAAAGAACCAGAAGGAATGTGGAATTTGCTGCAGATTATTGCGGAAATGCTTGCTAGACATGATCAAAATGGAATTCAATTATTAGAAATATTAACTAAACAGTGTTTAGCACAAGAACAAGTACGGATTCTTCATAAAAATTACTTTTTTTTGCTTATTCATTGTTTATACGAAATAATTTAGATTATGCAATGGTGGTTTACAACAAAAGTATCCAATGTCTATAATGAACGTGGTACAACTGGTCTTCGAAATCATAATGCCTTAATGGTACAACAAGCAAGCGCTTCATTGTGTGATGAAATTGTTCATATATGGCGTTTAATATCTCTAAATCCTTTATTAAATATCGATGACAGAAACAATATTTATACGAAACTGTGTAACTGGCATATAAATCTTATCGAAAAAATATGTAAACAAAAAACAACAACTACAAATATATCAACGACCACAAATGGTTTACAAACAACGACGAATAATTACCCTTGTCTTTTAACAGCCACAACAGCGAATGGCGATCGTTCAATGAATCAAAAACGACGTGACATTGATATATTTTCCGGTTTTCTTCCAGCTATTGAAGTTGCACAAATAACATGGTATGATTTTCCCAATATAAACCAGATTAACGTAGAACAAAATGAGGATGAAAGTGTCACAGCTTGGAATAAATATGGAATGTCATATGATCAAGCATTAACAACAGCTTATAAATATATTGCACAACAAACATCGTCAACAACAGCTAGTGTACATCCACTGTTTAATGAAAATAAAGATCCAATTGTAGAACAGCAACAAATACTACCAGCAGATGAAATAGGTGATTCAGAAGCCAATAATAATGAAAAACAAGAGCAAAAGCTAAACCGAAATTCATCCACTGAAAATAATTGCGATAATGGTAGTGATACAGACTCGGGAGGTGAATCGGGTGATAATGATGCAGATGGACAAAATGATCAAAGCAGTGACGAATATAAAATTTATTTTGCTGATCCCATATCATCACAATCAGCAACGATAAATAAAACTTCTTCATCTTTATCAAATATTCATACTGGTACAACCACACAACATTCGCCATTAACATACGAATTTATAACATTGAAAAAAATTAATGATCCATTAGAGGTATACTTTTCTTAACAATGAAACTAGCAAGAAGATATAGAATTGTAATTTTTGATCTAAACAACTTTGTTTCATAGCTTTGTAGATAGTTTACGTGTAGATAGGCACTTTTATGCATGTCTTGATCTTTTATCAATGATCTGCAATTCTTTTCATTTAGATTGCCTTTGCTCAATGTGAAGCGTTACGTGTTCATGGTTTTTCTAATGAAGCATACAAACTAGCTGAACAACTTGCGAAGCATCTACTTACAACCAACGATTGGCTTCATCCACCTCGTCCGCCATCATCATCATCGGCCCGGAGAGGTATGAATTCCATATTTGTCTCTTAAAAAGAAAATTTTTATCTTTCATTTTCTAGGCCATTTTGCCGTATCTGATTATTTTACATCCCCCATAGCACGTTGTGGTTTTCTTTGTTCAATTTTAACTGAATCTCCGAAACATCAACAGATTGCATTTCAGATTGGGCTATGTGGACTCGAAGTGGGACGTTCACCTTCAACAACAAAAGCACTTGAAGTGAGTTTATCACGTTCTTTCTCTTAGTATGAATAACCAAATCATTTTTTTTAAAATTTAGATTCGTCTTTTAAACTGCGAACAAGAAATATGTCATGAATTAAAAAAAATCACATTAGGTCCAAATGAAATAAATATGTTAAGGGATCGTGCAGAGAAAATACGTAACGGTATCACGTATACACGCGGTAATGCTCTATTACCATTAAGCTTAGCCACTTATATATTCGAAACATTACGAACATTGAGTTTATCTCGGAGTGGTAAAGCACAAACTACACAACAACAGCAACAATTTAGCTATACATCGTGTAGTAGTGATACCATACAACAGAATTATTTTACTTCTTTTGATAATCATTTGACATCGTCTCCAATGAATGTCATTCAACAACAAATAAGTACTTGTGTAAATGATAATGATGAATTACTTGGTTTTGATGCAGCTATCTCCGCTTTGGGATTAAAAACTTACGTTTCTGAAGGTATTTGACATTTATCTAATACTCAGCGTAAAAAAAAATACTATCTATTTTATTTTCATTTTTATTTAGGCCAAAATCCAATATTATGCGAAGGTATTCGTCGTCAACGTAGCGATTTAGCTTTGAATCTATTGACGTTATACAAAGATGATCAAACACGTTTAATAAAAATCTTAGAAAAATTACTCGATCGTGATATACATATACTGTTTAAAAATCCTAATATGAATCCTTTTAATATTGGTTCAAAAAAATTGCATACACAATCGACAACAATATCTTCGGGTACCACCTCTTCCGTTAATTTGGAACAAAATCATGATAGTACAAACAGTTTTGATGATGCAACATCAAATCGTCTGGAGTATAAAAAAACTTTAGCAACTGCTGAAATTGATAGTTCTGGTCTCGACGAAAGTGAAGGCGAAAATTTTGATCAAAAAGCTTGGGAAGCTAAATTTCGCTGTCTAAACTTGAAAAATAGTTCAAAAAGAATATCAAACGGTAAATGGAAAATTCATTATTTATTAAGGTGTACGAAAGAATCTCTTGGATTGAATTTACTTTTCTTTGAAGCTGTACCGCTGACAGCAGAGCTTTCGGGAGGCTATAAGACTCGAATAGACGAGATGGTAAAGGATAATCAGTTTTTTCAGAGCATTTTCTGACTAAGTTTTCTTATTTTCGTTCCTAAAAATGCAATTTCTTTATTAGGAATCAATTTTTATATAATGTTTCTGATTTAAACTTCAATCAACGCCTGTTAGATTGAATGAAATAAAATCCATCTGAAGCCGGTTTGTTCGATGCTGCTTTATGTCTTATACTAAACTGTAGGTATTTCAGTACAGCGATATTTTGAGACTGTCCTTTTGCATTTCTGCAATTTTTTCACTAGTGTTTTAGCGTTTTAATTTTCTTTGTTTTTCTTCTAGGTTTTACCAGTATCGACAGTAGTGCGCCAGAAACGAATTCAAGTGATAATTCACCAACAATATCACGTCGTAGCATACGTGTTTCCTCGAAAGTTAATGCTGATTCGGAAAGTGACAGTGAGAAAGATAACATACATCGAAATGGTAATAGAACTCGCTTAGTATCCAGATTGATCTATTCTTAATTTCTTTACTTTTTAGCATGCAATGAATCGCCTGCACGATCTATCACACACACCGATTTAACTCCCACAATGAATGACACTTCACAAACTTCTTACACTCCAACGTTTTGTCCCACAATAATGGTTGATCCAAACACTACCTACACGAAGAAAATGCTAACATCGAGCACGTCAGTGAAATCAAAACATAAAACTCGTTCACCCTGTATACCAAATCAACCATCGGAAGCATTGTCTCATTTTATGTTTGAGTTAGCTAAAACACTTGTACAACGAGCAGGGGGAACAACATCGACATCTCTCTTTCAAAATACTCCACATATCACTACGCCACCACATCGAAATTTACACTTGTGCGCATTTACAATCGCTCTTTATGCATTAGGTGTTAATAATCATGTACATCCAAATTGGATGGTTCGAACATACAGCAGCCTAGTATCATGGATAACGAGTACAGCAGTTGACATTGGTTTACAAGCAATTTTGATACTTATCGAATGTTGGGAAAGTCATTTGACGCCATTAGAATGTGCAACAGCATCTGATAAAGCGTCGAGAGGACGAGACAAAGCCTGTGTGCGAGCTGCAGCTGAACTAGCCTTGTGTAGTTTACAGTATGCACATGCTCTCAATCCAGCTGAAATTCGTCAGTCATTGGCACAATGTAAAGAACAAAATGGCGATATGCTAGAACGAGCGTGTCTAACAATTGAAAATGCGAGTAAAGATGGTAGCGTTTATTTAGAAGTTTTGTTTGATGTAGCAAAACGTTGGTATGAAATGTATTTTGATGTTACTGGTGATCCATTAACCAATGATGAAGATACACAAACACCAACATCGTCAAATTATTGTTTTAATAATCGTAACAACAACGATAATTCATCTTTATCAACATCTTCTTCAACAATAACTCTTACGAATAACAATAACAATATCAATCACGCTGCACAACAAAATTACAGCTCACCGGTAGATTTGTACAATACAGTTGATATTTTATCATCATATCCGATATATCCATCAGCCTCATTACAAAATAATTATACCTATCACAATTCAAATAATCATACAAATAATTACATTTACCAATCTACATCGGTACCACCACCACCTCTATCAGGTCCACTTAATTATCATTCATATCCTCATTTTCCATTTGTCCCAGTTCCAATTCATTTTTCATCCCAACCGCAACCAACGATCACAAATACGTATTTAACAGCTCCTTTCTTACCTACGACGGTATTTCACCAACAAACATCCGCACAGTCATTATCCCAATCTCCCTACAATCATGCTCATCCTATTTTTGTTACCACACAACAACAACAACAACAACAACAGCAGCAATCAGCCACGTTTCCCGTTCACACATCTTATTCAACAAATCAGATACCTATTCAAATTTATTCAAATCTTCACCATCATCCGCAACAACAACAACAAACTATTTCTCCTATATTACTCAGTCAACCATCAAATTCATATCCGAATAATAATCTTCGATCCACTCCTATCACTCAAATAAATACAGTTGACCAACAACCAGCCATTGTTACATCTCCACTCACATTTACCCCTGCCATAAACAATACTAACACTGCTCCTGCAGCTTCAGAAGTAAGAAAAACTTTTAGAGTTTGTTCAATTCGTGATTATGTTTATTTTTCCTAGCATATCTCCAATCACCGACGTTATCTTGTAAATGCATTTCGTGTTGGCATGTTGGCCATGAGCACTTTAGCTCGTCGTTCGGTGGACGAACGGCGCGGAGAATCAAATAGTCCTACACCACGTCATGGAGAAGATGTTAAATGGTTATTAAAAGTTGCACTCAAGTTAGGTAAGTAAATAAATTATTTTTATCAAATTATGTGCTCATCATAATTATTACCGTTTATTTTAGGAAATTCTGAATTACAAGATTTTGTTAATAGTGCCACAGCATCCATAATTAATCCTTATCTTCTTCAAGCATTAGCATTTAGTGTAGCCTATAATTTATCTCAAACTCAAATAGGTTCAACACAAATGTTACGTTCACCATTTCTTCAACCGTTAATGCAAAAATGTTTAAATAGTTATACACGTTGTGTTCATCAACGTATGGCCCATTTAACAACCAATAATGATATTGAAGAAATAAGTTCTTTAATGAAAAATGCACGATCAGCATTTCTATTAATGGTAAATTGTTAAATTTATTCAAAACTTCAAATGATGACTGATAGTTTATCTCATTTTTTTTTGTTTAGGGAAATAATCATGGTTATAACGATTTAATTAATTTTGTGAAAGGATCTAAAAAATGTAAAAAGGATGTATTTTTAAAAATATGGGCAGCTATTTCAAATTAATGTGTTTATTTTTTTCAAATTATGGAACCAACACAAGTTTCAGAATTTCTTTTCATCGAGTATATGATCATCTATACTATTTTCTACTACTATAGTCATTATTGCTATCAATATCCACAAACTTAATTAAATAGACATTTTATTTTATTTTATTTATCTTCATTGTCTCTCTGTTATTCTCTAATAATGAAAGACATAAGTCGTTTATTGATTCTTTGGTATTCAAAAGCCTTTGTGTCAAAATATTAGTCTGATACGCAATCTGTTTAGAATGAATGTCCAAGATAGCTTAGCATACTTTATTTGCGAGCTATGCTTTTCAGATAACAGATTTTTTCTTAATATCATTAGAAATCTGTCGATCTTACATTGTTAATACGTTTAGTTGTATTTTTTTTCCTCACTAGGCTTCTTTTGATGGTTAGTTGCTGTTTTCTTTTCAAGCTCGTATCAGTGTGATATCAAAAACTTTTTTCATTTGTTTTTTTTGTTCTGTGCTAATATTACTTTGTTGTTCTAAATGTTTTGCTCCTCGCTTTTCAACTTCTCAACATCATATTTTGGAATTATCTGTTGTGTTTTGGTGTTTTCTTTTTGTACGACCGTTTTATTATTCTCTTATTTTAGTTTCTATTTTTGTGCCATAGTTCATTTATTGTCTTAATTAGAAAATATGTTACGCTTCGATATAGGATACTTGTAAAATTCTAATCGAAAATCGTTAACACTTTCGTTTATCGATTTTTCTGTGTAATTCTTCTTTTTTTTTTGTTTTGTTTGTGATTGTATGTATATTTGTGAAAGTTCTGACTGTTTAGTTTTTATTTTTCCTTTGGCCCAGCTAGGTTAGCTTTTTCGATTTTTTATTTTCTTGTTCTTGCTTTTTTAATGTGTATTTTGTTGTTGTTGTTGTTGTTGGTCATGTATGCTTGGATCTCTTAATATTTTAACAATTTATGTACGTAAACAAAAAAAGAAGATTTGGACTACGTATTCGTAGTTGGAAATAAAAACGAGTTATGAATCTTTTGTAGTAAACCTTTCTACAAAAAATTTACTATGGTACTTTGAATCTAAAGTTATCGACTTCTAGCATCTAATTCATCTTATAATTTGTCTGTAATAGATCTACAGTTCAAAATACTCAAAAATACTCAAAACTATAGTGCTCTGGACAAGTGAGAGCGTCTCTGTAAATCAGGAACTATAATAGGTAACAACTTCGAATTTTGTTTGGCCATTACTTTCACTAAATGCTAATTGTTTTACGTGTTATTTATTGGATTATAACAATTTTATCTTTTATTAGTAAAATGTTCACAATTCTTGATCCAAGGCACAGTGGGTATTCAGATGGATAGCAAAAAAGGCTAGGATTTACAGGCTAGGAATAACAATTTTTTAGCTCTTTTGGAACAATCAGAAAAATGATTCGAAATAATTTCGCTGAAATCAATATGAACAGCAAAAAACTGATTAACGGAAAATATCTTTATCCTACTAAAAGTATTTCTAATTAATATGAATCACATATTCAGAATCAGTTCGTCAAACTGCATCAAACCCTGTACAAGACTAGTATTTTAGAAAACAACTTTTTTGATCTTGTCCTCGTCAGCTATTTTCCAAAAAGAATTTTTTATTTAATCGATCATTGGACAAACGAGTTACAGTATTCAAGAAAAGAAAAGAGTTTATTGCGAAAACAAACGTCATATTCGCTTAACAAGCCAAAAATGCCTTCATGGAGAATGAAGAGCTTATTTTGTTATCAAAATGTAGTCATGGCTCTGGTCTATGTATATGAGATGAATTTAAGACGTTGACTGTTATTAGTTACTGAAAGATAGCTATGTAATGGCCAATTTGGGCTACTGTTCGAAAAAAACTCGTGACTCAGTCTAGAAGCATAAATCGGACTCAAAAAATTGTTCTTTTGTTTTTATAAGACCGTCGACTCAATTTTCATACTATCAATCCAAATTAAAAGCCAGTTTTGTCGAAAGACGTCTTCATTCTTTCTGTATAGCTTTAACCGAAGATTTGGTGCTGAAAAATTAGAAAAAATAGTAAAATATGGAACAACAAGTATGCAGAGGTTGTGACAATCAACTACTGGAGTTCTATCGTGTCTTTTTATCAAATTAATTGCTGTGCAATGGTTGTAATTTATTTCACATTCAACGTTAATGAAACGTGATCGAGTATGATTTTAGATTTTCTTTCTATAATGTTTGTAGCTTGTTTTATTTTATGTGTTTTAGGTAAGGAACATGATATTGTTCCAACGCCATTTAATTGATTCATCGTATTCACTTAGATGCAGTTAGAGACAATTCGGCATTAATGCAATATGTTTCAGGATAAGAAAGACATACAAAACAACAAAAGTATTCGGCAAAAAATTGGTTGAATAACTACTATTCATGAAAAGTATCGTTAAAAAGTGAAACCGCAACATTGTTGATGATGTATATTCAGTGTCAGTCTATTATCTAACATGTATTAATAGACATTTGAATAACACAACTGAGTGACATGGATTTTTAAAAAGTCAACGATACCGAAGTTATATAGAGAAACACCGTTGAATAGTATATGGCAAGTAAAGGATGGTGTACTCGATCAAGAAGTTGGCTCGCTTATTTTTAGTTTTTTTCGGAAGACAACAGTAATATCATTTGTTTGGATATTATTTGTTCAATGAAGAGATTATTGAAAACCTTACAATCCTTGTTAGCCTCAGATCCTTGTTGAATCAGAAAGCCGTCCATTTGAATTTAAAACTTTTAATAAATTTGCGAAAGTGCTACCGCTCCCCTCCCTCCTCCAACTGCTGATTTTTCTGCTGTTTTTGCTTTCATCAAAAAATAGTTTTCGATGATATTATTTGACACGTTTCATTATTGATTAAATTACATGCTTTAAATTAGTTCTTTTTCATACTTATGGCATTATCTCCTATCTCTGCAACTGCTGTCATCTGCAATTTTTGTTTGTATTAAATTTTATTCGTTAGTATTTGTACCAGCAGTTTGTTTTCTCTGTTCTAGTTGTGATATCTATATATTATTTTTCTGATAAAATTTAGTGAACTACTTCATAAATGATGAAATTTGAGTGTAAATTTAACAGATTTCAAGTCCTCAAAATTTGTCATGTATGATAACTTCATGTTTGACAAATAACGGTTACCTTTTTCTTCTTTTTATCACCTTCACTGGGAAAAATTATTGATTATTACTAGAAAATAAGCCACTTGGTAAACCAACCGTATTATAAAAGATTTTGATGCAAGATATAAGATAAGCACGAAAAAATGTGGTGGCATCAGGAATCGCAAAGAAAGAAATGTTAAGCAGAAGTTGAAATAAAACTTCCCTATGTCGTCAGAATCGGAAAGAAATCGTCGATTAAACGTACTTGAGTAACTTGTGCTGGCGTTGTATGCTCGTTATCCGATATATAAAATTCTTATAGCTTTTTTAGTGTTGAATGGATCTGTCTAAAACTGTTGTGCAATACTCATCTCGGTTATGCTCACTACTATAAAAAAATCCGCTTAAAATCTCCGTTCCTGAGATATAAGCGTTTTACTAAGCGAAAGCGTGATTTTGATATCAAACATCTCTAAACTTGGTTCTTGAGAAAAATCTGTAGCAAACAGTTTACTCTTTCAGAGTATAACTATGAATTTATTATATATTCACAGTTATTAGGTTATTGTACGTCAATAATAGCTTTACACACAGAATAGCGTTTTTTCGTATCGCGAGATTGAAGGGTTATATAGTAAGTTAGCCAGTTCTCGCCAAAAACTCTATCCAAAAAGCGCAAAACATAGCCAAGACAAGTGCCTTGATATTCTTAATATGTGATAAAAATTTTAGCTTAGGTAGTTTGGCCAGTCGGAAGAAAACTACGTTTTACTGTCAAAAAGGCCTAAATATAACTTATTATACACCATTCAATTCACCTTCGCGAGAGCTATCTACTGGTGTGCGTGTTATAAGCCTTCGAAACGTTTTTTGACTCTGTATTAGATAGGAAAGATGAGAAAATCAAGACTCCAAGCGTTTTTTATGCTATGCTCGTGCTGTTTGTCGGCTTAGATGTTTATAACGTTTGCTAGTGCCTCCTAAATCAACAAACCGTTATAGAACAAAAGAAATATATGATTTCCAATAAGCATGGTTTGAAAATAGCATGTAGTAAAAGAAAAACAAATAGAACATAATCAAAAGATATTATCCAAACCTAAATTTTACTAAACAACAGAACGAACTTGATTTGTACAACCAAAATCGCATTTTTTGTGAGTACTATAGTGACACTTAGAAGATAGTGGTCGGGGTGTATGTCTATCGATTCTCCTTCTCAAGTTCTGTCAATTCGTGTATTTTCGTTTACTCTTATTTTCTTATCAGAGAAGCGGATTTTTACGGATTTCGAAAAAATTTTAATATCTAGAGAAACCAAATGGTGACAATCGGGAAAATAGCATATTTATTGGTAATCGATAGCGCTCTACTCAGACTTTCATCGTTTAAAACCATTTTTCTCAGAAGTTTTTTTTGATCAAGTGTACAATGGTAGCGTAATTCACTCAATTAATCAGCCGATTAATCGTGCGGTTAATCGCTATTTTGAGAAAAAACCGTCGATAAATTTCGATTTGCTAAATTGAGTGGTTCGACTAAGTTTACTTAATAAGGTCACACACGACATGTTTGGAAAGGTTAAGAAGTACCATCTGAAGGTGACCTAACAGGACTTTTTGTATTAGTGAACGTAAACAGGTTTTGCTAGTTTGTAAAATTTGATAGATAGACATTAGAAAGAAAAATGTGTTTCTCGACCGAGAGTGGAATCTGAGTGTTATTGGTTGTTTGATCAACTCTATACATTAGAACTATGAAGCACTCTAATCACCTCTATTCTTCTCACTGAATAATTTTAACTATCAAACTCTTACGGAGCGCTTTTAACGAACAATCTACAACTGTCCGTCCTCTCAGGAGGAGTTTAATTGCCTGTTATATGTTGTTAATTTGTAGCTGACAGGTGCTTTCGGAATTAAAACATAAAATGTTGAAGACCACAGGGCAAAGTGCTGATCTAGCAAACCAGTGTCACTCGTATTCGATATCTGATCGATTTATATGCTTTTCTGTCTAAAGTTTTTCTATCAGATTTCATACAGTCGTAAAAACTAAGCATGGCCATTGATCTTCGGATAATGTTTATATTTATAATTTAGAACACCGACTAATATCTAATCTCTACTCTAAAAAGGTGTTGTTCATGTCGTCCGAATATACTCAACTCAACCGACATCATTTTAACGAAGAAGCACATAAATACGATCATCACCATGCGGCAAATGATCTTGCAGCTCTGTGTTCAGCGGCGATGCTCAGTGTGCATGATGTCAATTGGAACTCAAAATCAACTCGTGTTCTAGATTTTGCGTGCGGCACCGGTCTCATCACACGCAATTTACAAGATCACGTGTCGAAAATTCTTGGTGTTGATATTTCGGAAAAAATGATAGAAATATATAATAAAAAATTCGAAAACAACGATAATATCCATGGAATATGCACAGATATCCTTTCATCCGATTTCAATGATGAAATATCGACCGACTTCGATGTCATTGTCATCGCAAATGCATTGCATCATCTTGGTGATCCAAAGGGTGTGCTGTTGAAACTTTCGTCATATTTAAAACCTGGTGGACATGTTATTGTTCTTGACTTTTTTAATTGTAAAGAAACGCATGAAGGACGAAGTCAACTTTTTCCAAAACACGCTGATCACGCATCGTGTATGGCCAGTCATATACATGGATTCACACCAGAGCAATTTGAAGATATGTTCAAGAGTATTGGCTTGAGTGAAGTGGTTACTGATACTAGTTCGTGGCAATATGAATTTGAGAAAGACGGTGAAAAGTTTTATATGAAATACATTCTCGGGCATGGCAAAAAGTAATGTCTGCTGCTTAACTTTTTCTATTAAAAACTTTTGTGATTCTTGATTAGGCATATGTACGTACTTTTAACAAATATAGTTTCAAACACGACTTCCAATTAAAACTATGTATATAAAAAGAGGATCCTGAGCAAATGTCTCAATAAAAAAAACTCGCTTTTGAAGACTAAAAACAGTTCGAGAAACTATAAAGCTTTTTCTGATAGAATCGACTAAGACTTTCATTTAAAACAAGACTTCTTAAAAATCTTTTCACTCTGATTATTGTCCTTCATCATAGCGCTTTTCTCACTAGAGGCAAATTACAAAGATAGATCCAATTGACATATCTCAAAACGCCGAAACTGCAATTTTAGGCTTACTTCCATTTGTTAATCTCAAAAAACAAAAAAAAATAAAAAAGCAAAGAGTTTCGAGAACCGTCACCATTTCTGCCGTATCCTTTCATTCGGCTACATTTATCGTACAAAAAGGCCTTTGAAGCGTGCCATAGAGGAAGTTACGAGACAAAAGAACTAAACTTTTGGAACTACAAGTTGTTAAACAACGGAATAAATAGAAATAAAAAGTAACAATATCTTTGCGCAGAGCGAGAAAAATATTGGAAAAGACAAAAAAAGTAAAATATGTATTATTCTGTGAAAAGTAACGGAGAAAAAATGAATTCAAAAGCTGAGACACATACAAACTACCACAAAAACACACTTAGAAATAACAAATATTTTGCTTATAACTTATGAACAATTAGAAATAAAGTAATTGATAGATGAGGCTCATCAGTGATGAGGTTTTGATAGAAAATGATCCCAGCGTCTTATCATATAGAATACTCTGTTAAAATGCACTCAAAGTTTTACTTCCGGCAAGTTAAATTTTTTATTAAGTCTTTTACATTCAGAGTCAGTCATGTAAATTCTCTCAATCTTACACTGTTTGATTATATTCTCTTCACAAATGACGTTGATATCAGGCATAAGATGCGAGTTCGAACATACGTAATTTCAGTCGAGTAAAAGATACGTCACCGCTACTTTTGTCGAATCACCATTAAAAGATTAGAAAATTTAAGGAAAAATTAATTATTCGAAAACATTCAGTCTGCTTGCTATATCGATAAAATAACATTACGGATTAAAAAAGTTTTCAGGCAAATAAAAGTAATCTCTTCAAAAATTTTAATAATTCCAAAACTGAATTTTTATCCGAATTTTGACGTTCTATTGTATGTACACAAGCAGAACATGTGTCATTACTTCGATCAAATGCGCTAAACGATTAGTGGAAATGGTTCCTGTTCAGAATATAATTTATAACAGAGAACTGTCAATTTACATGAATTTCTTTAAAAGTTTACGTTAACATCAAAATGAATTAATGTGTTTCCATAATAATAATTATGTGTTGATATTTGAAAAAGATCAGTATTGTACTGAATGTTTTCGATATAATCTTTCATTCGATTTACCTAACTGTTGTTTAGATAGTCATCTTTGTTTACAAGATTCAAATATTCATGTTGTCAGTAAAACCACATGCAGAAATATAGTACAGAATTATTGAGTTTTGCACTTGATTAATCGTTACTTATTAATGATAAACAATAATAATCATTATCGATTAGAATTTATCTTACTATAAGAATTAGCATGTTTTCTATTTGATTTATTTAATAAGTTGTATGCAATTAGAATAATGACAATTTGGTGAGAAATCACTTGTTAATCGCAACAATTATTAATCAATGTTCACTGTTGTATTTATTATTGAAAATAATTCATGTCTTATTAGATTCAATGTGGTGTTACTACAAATCATATACATCTGCTTATTTTTACAACTGTTTTCTCTTTTCATTAATGATAAATGATAAGAAATTAACTGTTATTCTGTCAATCGCTTAACTTAATTAGAAAGGTCAATGAGGATCAGTATGATGTTTGATGATATACATAATATCAAGTGATAAATGGTAATTTGAGAAGGGAAAAATGCACATTGTAATAGTCAGAGATTAAGCCGTATTTCGAGAAGTTTAGATAATTAGAATGCTCAAATCGATATAATTGAGTTTAAGCTATTTTTTTTTATTATAAAATATATTAGTATATTGAGCAATTGATGTTTAGCATCATTTCTACACGTATAAATTTTAGAGTGATCATGATTATTTTTTTCTTACTACAGAAAACAACATGGAATTTGAAGAGAGTTGAATTGCAACTGGTAATGTTTAATATAACATCTTTCTATAAAAGATATAAAAAAAAGATAGTCGATGCCGTTGTATTGAACTATTTTTCCAATTACAACGGCATCTTTTTTTTACCGAGAGAAAGAAAAGGATCGAACGGAAGAGAAAGATTTCATGTATATATTTTACCTTCTGTAAGTTCTAGTTAAGATGCCATATGCCACCTTTTTATTGATCTTAGAATATTTTATCGATTTTCTTTCTTCGGGCGTCGAGGTTGAGAGAATTGAAAGGTGACATATGATACCTCTTCTAGTTATAAATTTCAACTCTTATCTCCATCTATTTCGTCGAGGGAAACAATTTCATAAGAGTACTTATAAGATGTATCTAACAATCAATAGTATCATGAAGGCATAGTTATGTGAGACATAGCTCTCAATTGCAGTGTCAGTTTTATTCACCGGTTTATGCAGGATACTATTATATATCACATACCGTCCAAATCATCATCAATATAGGGAATGATACCTCGTCCTTCATATGCTCCTGAACAACATCCGTTTATTTTTGAAGGCGATAAATCTTGATATTGTAAAAGTCGTCGTGCTAATGCCGTAAATTCGGCATAATCAACTTGTCTATTTCCATCCGTATCTGCTTCACGTATCATATCATTGAGTTCATCGTCGGTCAAATTTTCGCCTACATAAAATAGAGTAATATTGTTAGACATAATCTATCTCGAACTATCTATTTTATTCATACCTAAACTATTCATTACATTTCGTATTTCTATTTCACTAATAAAACCATTACCATCTTTATCAAAAATTCGAAATGCTTCATTTAATAATTCATCATTAAAATCGAAGTTTCCACCTCCATTTCGATTCATCATTTGTTTAAATTCTTCAAAATCGATAATACCATTTCCTTAAAAGATTAACAACATTATATAAAATGATTTTTTTTACTCCTCATTAAAAAAAAAAACGAAAGTGTGCTTTGCTGTCTAGTGAAGAAATTTTACCATCTTCATCAACTTCATTAATCATTTGTTGTAATTCAGATTCGGTATATTCATATCCAATTGTTCTCATCACATTACCCAATTCTACTTGACTAAATGCTCCTATTCCAATTCGATCAAATAATGCAAATGCATCTTTGAGTCCTATTAAAGGATAAAGAAAAGTACAAAAAAAAAAGAATTATTAAATATTTTTTGTTTAGTGAAAAAAAAAATAATGTCTTTACTATTTTCATGTTCAACTACTGCATTATATGTATTCATCATCATCAACATCATATTTTTAATAAATTCATATACATGTTTTAGTTCTCTTGTTTCATTTCACTAAATAAGTATAAATCAATTCTTTTGATATTTTTTAAATATAAAATGACTATCTTCAATAACGAAAAGCGATTTATATAAGAACCATTAACATATATCTTTTTCTATTTCTCTATCTCTATTTTACACTCGATTAGTGATAAATGGATCTGTTTTGTGTGTGATGGTAGTGTTATTTTCTTATTTTTTCCTCTTATTCTAAAAATACCACCATCGTCAATAGAGAATTTTTGGTTGTATAGGAGATCAGTAGAGAAAAAAAAGAAGAAGAAAATGATGTCTATTAAAGAAACATCTTTTTATTATTTTCCTTTTTTTTGCGTTGTCTACTGATGGTATAGTAAAACATATCTTCTATCAACAAAAAAGATTAGTATTAGGATATCAACTCTTAGTTAGTCTTTTTTTTTCCTCTTATTTCCTCTTTTACATACGACAATGCTTATATGCTTAGGTAGAAATATTATATGTTAAACGATAAAAAATAGATCATTAATTAAAATATACATTAACAAGTGTTACTCTTCTAATGCAATAGGATGTGCTATATATTATTAAATAAATGTTTGAACTTTCACTTAGAATAGAGATCTTAATGTGTTGTGTGTGCGTGTGTGTTTTTTTCTTAAATTAACAACTGTAACATTCAGAATCAGAATCACGTGGAATTATCCCTATAGCACACTTTTTTTCCGTATCAAAGAATAGCATCAACACACTACTAAACTGAGAAAAATGAGAAAGTCTAGAAAAAAAATCATAATACTCAGTACAACAGTTAGAAATAACAATTACAGATTAATACACAGTATCTTTGGATTGTAAAAGATTCAATTCTTTCATTTTATCTTAAAATCTCATAATACGTAACAATAAACAACCTCGTTTTCCCATTTTTGATCATTCACTCACTAACACATCAATATATTCAAACATAGAAAATTTACCTAAATAATTTTTGTTAATTAATAACCTAATTGGCTAATTGAATATATTAACGTCACATTGAGAGTCAAATTTCTGGTAGTTTCGGGCATGTCAGCCCGTAACTTTCTAAGATTTAATTTCCGAATAGGCCTTTTTGTTACGCATATTATTAATAAGAAAAACAGAAAGGATAGACTTTGTCGGACCTTTCCTTTAAAAGTTATAGCCAAAATAAAGAATCGTTCTCTTTTGGGGTCTCCGGTATAACCCATTAGAAAAACTTTTACTTTTCAATAGCCACATGTCCATTAAATGATCTTCTCATATGGATCGATAGAGAAGAGAATGCGTTATCCGACTCTGGCTATTAAAATGTTTGAGCTCTTAATTTAGAAGCATCAGTAAGAGCATTGCTCCGACAAAAATACTGAAGTTTTTCTACATGCAGGAATAGTAGGAATCTAAACCAAGTATACGGCAATAATCTTCAGTGTTCACTGTATTAAAAATCGATTTCAGAAG